TAATTTAAATATGGAATCGAAACGGAATTCTTATAAAGAGTTTACTATTTGGTGTCAAATATACGTTAAGAAGTGTTCCGAATGTGTTGTGGAATAGAAAGAGTAGAACAGATAGTAGAGGGACAGGTAGAGGGACAGGGAGTGGGAGTGGGAGTGGGAGGCGAGGGACCGGTAGTTTAGAAGCACTTTCTGTGCACAATAGAGGGTCCGGACTCGTCATACTCCTGCTTCGAGATCCACATCTGCTGGAAGGTGGACAGGGAGGCCAGGATTGAGCCTCCGATCCAAACCGAGTACTTGCGCTCCGGGGGAGCGATGATCTTGATCTTCATCGTCGACGGCGCTAACGCTGTGATCTCCTTCTGCATGCGATCAGCGATTCCTATAAACACAACAACACGTGTCAAACAGATTGATGGAAGGGGTGAGTGGAGGGGCAGTACAAACCGGGATACATAGTGGTGCCGCCCGAGAGCACAGTGTTGGCGTACAGGTCCTTACGGATATCAACGTCACACTTCATGATCGAGTTATAAGTGGTCTCATGAATACCACACGACTCCATACCCAGGAATGAGGGCTGGAAGAGGGCTTCGGGGCATCGGAAGCGCTCGTTGCCGATAGTGATCACCTGTCCGTCGGGCAACTCATATGACTTCTCGAGGGACGAGGAGGAGGCGGCGGTCGCCATCTCCTGCTCGAAGTCGAGGGCAACGTAACACAGCTTCTCCTTAATGTCTCTCACGATCTCTCTCTCGGCGGTTGTCGTGAAACTATAGCCCCTTTCGGTCAGGATTTTCATGAGATAGTCGGTTAAGTCACGTCCCGCCAGATCCAGACGCAGGATAGCGTGCGGCAGAGCGTAGCCCTCATAGATGGGAACGGTATGCGAGACACCATCGCCGCTGTCCAACACAATTCCGGTGGTACGTCCGGACGCGTACAGCGAGAGGACGGCCTGAATGGCCACATACATGGCTGGGGTGTTGAACGTCTCGAACATAATCTGTGGATCGGTTCATACATTTCAGACATTTTTGCATTAGTTTTCAAAATCAGTCAAAGAATTAATTGATTCAAAATTGGGTCAAAAGAGAGCTTCAAATGAATGAATAATTAGACGATAAATGAGTTACTATTAGGAAATGAGTTCATAAGACAATGAGAGCTCCGGGATAATGGTGTTAAGCACTGGGATATCACTGGTGTTAAGCACTGGGAGATCACGTGACAACACATACCTGAGTCATCTTCTCTCTGTTGGCTTTAGGATTGAGTGGCGCCTCAGTCAAGAGCACCGGGTGTTCCTCAGGAGCCACTCGGAGTTCGTTGTAGAAGGTGTGGTGCCATATCTTCTCCATGTCGTCCCAATTGGTGACAATCCCGTGCTCTATGGGGTACTTGAGGGTCAGGATCCCCCTCTTGGACTGCGCCTCATCGCCGACGTACGAGTCCTTCTGACCCATGCCTACCATCACTCCCTATACACACATATAACACATGACGCTATTGTCCACATAAGGGGACAGTGAGACAGACCTGATGTCGGGGTCGGCCCACGATGGAGGGGAAGACAGCTCTCGGCGCGTCATCGCCGGCGAAGCCAGCCTTACACATACCGGAGCCGTTGTCGATCACTAGTGCCGCCACGTCGTCGTCACACATTGTCTTGGATTAGGTTTGGATTAACTGACAAACACTGCAATCATATATCAAACACCGATTAATCACTGTTTGTCTGGTTGTCGTCAAAACAATCCATGGATTCACTCATTAAGACATTTGACAGACATTTGTGTGAATGCATGGAAAGCCTATAGAAAAGGGCGGATCTCTTGCTATACAATACACTGAACGCTGGATATGATATAAAAAGCGATTATATATACTATTTATGAACTTTTAATTGCATTTCATATCAATTTCACATCAAAATCAATGCATTAAATCAGTTGTCATTCAATGGAAACACAATTAAAACATAAAATCAGAGATATTTGGGACAAAAAACTGTTGGATTGGAAACGCGAGTCAAGCCATCAATTGATGTCTTAATTGCATAAAACAAATGACAAGACATTCAAAGACTTACCGATAAAATGAAAGATTGGATGAAAATGTGTATCAAAACACTTGTACTTTAAATGAGTTTCAAATAAATAAATATTGATTTCAATTGTATTTGAATTGAGTGTTGAATTCAAACAGCAATGCTATGAATGACTGAATGACTGCACAATGAATGCTAGCATTACTGCAGTCTCTCAACACATATATAACTTCTATAGCGCTCTACCACTGGTTATCGACACTCATATGAACATCAATTACAACCACTTTTGCGACTATAATATGCATTCATTGCATGCCTTTCACTGTATGTGCGCTCAGACAGGGGTTTCACTTGTGTTGTATTGGTTGACGTTTTTGGTGAACCACTGCTCGCCTCTCATTGGCTGAAAGGGCCGGCACTGACATGACGTGACATTCAAATTCATGACCATATATGGGCATAAAAATGAAATTCTCACATTTTATTGGCGAAAGCCTTATCTGTAAGCGACACTCTGATACCTTTTCAAGTAATTTTCGTATTGGGTAATATACTTATAAAGGTCTCATTTGCAATATCTAAATATAGTTTTATGATATTTTGATAATAAACCCAAATATCGGCATTCATTCACATATGAGGCAATCGTACACAACGTATAACTTAGTGTGCGTTGAGAGCTCCCTATGGATTGGCATTAGTCTGATTAGAGGCCATAATCGCATTGATTATGTGATTGCCTTTTAGTTGTATCAAAGACTCCCCCGACTATAAGTGGGTCACAGTTGATATGTAATGCAAATCACATTCACTTTAACTTGAATTGAATGAAGTTTAGGCCAATCATTGGTTTTGCAGCCAATCGTTGTATTGAATGAACTGATTGTATGAATAAGTTTTACACAACTTTTGAACCAAGTTTTGGACAAAAGTTGCGAAAATAGTTTTCAATCGCTTTTCGCTACAAATAGTTATCTCGAAAGGCATTCATATCGTAAAAAATGATTCATTTTCTATGACTTCTCCTTAATTTGTGTTAAGAAATGCATTTTGCACTCAATATATGATAATCATTGTAATTATGAGTCCATTAAATACACTTAAATAACATTTTATAACTTGAATTGAATGAAGTTTAGGCCAATCATTGGTTTTGCAGCCAATCGTTGTATTGAATGAACTGATTGTATGAATAAGTTTTACACAACTTTTGAACCAAGTTTTGGACAAAAGTTGCGAAAAATAGTTTTCAATCGCTTTTCGCGACAAATAGTTATCTCGAAAGGCATTCATAGAGTAATTATAAACCTTTTGGTCAGTATAGCATTTTTTACTAAGTAAAAGATACTGAAGAGGAATTAAACACAATTCTTTACGTAAAACGTGAGTTATATACTATTAGTAACATTAATACTCAGGTAATTTATGTGAATTTATTGTAAAAATATTAATATTAACTATATTTATCTCAATATAAATGTTATAAAAGTTTTTGATAAAAATATATACTTTTTTTGTTTAAACATTAAAAGCCTATGTTTTGCCGAATCATTGAATTTATTGTCTGAAAAAAAATATATATTTTTATCGCTGAGAGAAAAATTTTTGGCATAATTTAGTGAAATATATAAAAACTAATAAATCATTTGAAGGGATCTCTCATAACTCATACGAAGGATAGGCTCTGAATTGAGACCAAAATCTGTTAAATACTGATTACAATTGGCTTTTGTTTTATAATACACTTTGTATTGAGAGTTAGCGTCGAGTTTTGCATTTCAAACAAATATTGTGCGAGTTTTCAAACATTTGTTAAAATTGTTTAGTGTTTAGCGAATGACCTGTTTTTCAATGAGAAACTCGTTTATGGCTTTCAATACCATTATATGATTATATGATTTCATAATTTATAAAAGGAATCGACTTTTTAAACAGTTTTTCACAACATTTTTCAGTTGTCTTCATATGTATTAAAATATGTATTAAATTGAGAGGAAATAGTAATTAAAATGTCTTTTTGTCGGAAGGAAACTAAGAGACGGTTTGGTGACTGTTTGCAGTGTTTTATCACATTTTGTCTATAATTCCGATGAATATTCTTATATCTCTTACAATCGGATCAATTGCTATATATATGGTATATATATGGTATATATATGGTGTATATATAATGCTATATATATGGTATGAAACCATATTTCCGGCGATTATTAGTCAATCAATTCGTCAAAAACTTATATTTTAATCAAAAACTTCAATATCTATGCAAACAATGCAAGCAATCCTTGTTTTTATGGATAGCTTTCGAATAAATTGTTTTCCAAATCCAATGTAAATAACAGACTATTAGTGTAGGGCTGAGGGGACGGGAGTGCAGGGAAAGTGGTGTTTAAGTAATCAAAGGTATGAGTCATTGGCTGCAGAGGCGTATCCATAGGGCCTATGATTAAGTAGTGATGGTGTCGGTGCTGGTGAACAACTGGCAGACAATTAGCTGAC